ATGAGGAGGTGATTACATAATCTCTTAAAATGAAAAATTGTTTGGTTTAGATTCCCCCCGGAGTGAGTGGGCTTAATCTCTCAACTTTGGGGTGGACTTCCTTTGGCCAAGAGATAAGGCATATTCTCTGAACACATTTACTTTTTGTTTTTTATATTTTTCCCTTCTTTTTGGCTTACAAGCCACAAAAAATGGTTGACAATATTCTTGGAACAAGTTGCTGCCATGCCCCTCCACAGTAATTGATGATATACTGTAATAAATCTTGGAGCACATGTGGATCAAGCCATCATGAGTTCGCAAGATGAGACCTATAGTTTGAGAATTGACCTTCGATATGGAAGATCAGTCATCAGACACAATTTTGGTATCAAACAAAGGCTACGTTAAATTTCATTTACCATCTTGAAGAGTGATGCAGGAGCAAATGCCTCGTATTTTGAATGTTTCATATTAGAATTTATGGATGTTTAATTTTGGGGATTTTTGGGGTTTATGTTTTTGGTTCTTAAGTTTTTTATGGATTTTAGGCCTTTTTTTAAAAAAAAAAGATTTTTAGGGAGCTATTTGGAAAAGTTGTTACAAGTGGAATTATTTATTTTTATCAAGGATAAAAATGTCATTATGAATTTTTGATGCGAAAAGGTGGGAAATTAAATCTACCCCCTTTTTGATCCTTTAACAAGACAAAAATCATCTACAAATAGAGGAGAATATGGCTATAATCAAGATAAGGGGAAGAAAAAACTCTTCTCTTCTTTCATAAAAAAACTCTTTACAAGATACCAAGTCTCTTTCATGAGGGGGGTTCTCCCACCTTAAATACAAATACAACTAAAAAAGAAAAAAGCAAAAAAAGAAAGAAGACCTAAAAGTTATTCCTCTCGCTCTCTTTCTATGCCCATGTTAATATCTCCCTCTCTTTCTCCCCATGTGCTCTCTCTCTCCCCATGTGCTCTCTCTCTCTTGTAACTCCCCCATAAATCTCTCTCTCTAAATTACGTAAATCACCCCTTCCATAACTCTCATATTTTCTCTCTCGTAGATCTTCTTTTTAAGGAACTTTCTATAACCCTCATGTGATCAACGCTCCACCCATCTTCTCTTTCTAACTTAGGTAACAACTCCACCAGGATAGGACCATGAAATCCTAGAAACGAAGAAAGCTACATATGCCAATCCTAAAGAAAGTAAACCCTTAAATGCCCATGACAAAATAAAAATCCCTTTCTAACCTCAATATGGATATCCCTCAAAATTAACCCCAATAAAAGAGAAAACGTCTATCCATATACTTGAAATTAAAATTTAAATTAAAATAAAATAAATCAAAATTATTTTAATCAATCTAATTCTTAAACGTGTCAGATGCGATTTACATCAATTTTGTTTTAATTAGGACTTCTATTAGAGTTGAGATTCTTGGGTCTAAGCATTGATTAAAAAGCGGTCCGCCTAGCGCCCAGGCGGGATGGGGCGCCTGGGCAGACCAATTAGGCGGGTTGCTCTTGGGAGCTTCCGCCTGAGGATCCTAGGTTCTCGCCTAGTACCTGCCTAGGCGGGCGCCTAAGGGATTGCGCTCGACTAAGTGAAAAAATACCCATCACTTGGGGTATTTTTGGTTGTTTTTTTTTTTTGGATTTTAAAAATGCATGAATATGCATATTTTGTATAAAATATATACCTGAAACAGGGTAATTGGACACCATTTGCCCCCTTTTGAACCTAGGCTGCCTAGGATCTGGGTGGCCTCCTAGGCGCCACCCGACGTTTTTTGGAACACTGGGTCTAAGTAAGGTCTTTGAAGAACGTGACTAGTTTGGAAGAGGGTCGTAAGCACGTGACTAGATTGAAAAGAAGGAAGGTTTTGTGCTTTGGTGTACCTTGGTTACGATTTTGTATAGGAGAAACACTCAGGTTTCTCCAAGAGATTTCTTGTGACTGGCCTGAATAGAGTGGAATGACAGTACAAGATTTGTGTAGCGTCCCCAAATAGTTGGGATAAAGCGCAGGTGATGATGATGATGATGATACTAAGAAGATTGTGACATAGTTCAAAGGAATCACTCATGGTTTGCTTCACTGACTTTTACATATTTGCTTGGCATCATAGACATCCACCTGTGCTAACACTCTTTCTTGTCTGTGGTTCTACCCTTGCACTACCTACTATGGTTATCATTGAGGACGATTGATCATTTGTTTATTTTCATTGATGGTTGTGCCACCTTAGATCATTTGCAACTTAGATACATGAGCGTGCGCGCACACACACACACACACACACAAAGAGAGAGAGAGAGAGAGAGAGAGAGAGAGAGAGAGAGAGAGAGAGAGAGAGAGAGAGTAGTAGTAGTAGTAAGTAAGTAACGTAACGTTAACGTTAACGTTAAACGTTAAACGTTAACGTTAACGTTAACGTTAACGTTTAACGTTTAAA